TCTACAATGTTTCATTCAAAATTCTTTCTTCCTTCCTTCCTTCCTTCCTTCCTTCCTTCCTTCCTTCCTTCCTTCCTTCCTGTTTTTTAATAGTCTGCCTTTCTCACTGGGACTCAAGGCAGGTGACACATAGTGAATGAATACATCAACAGGATGGGACATTCAATGAATCAATATGGTGATGGCTAGATATGTCCAGAAAAAGCAATGAAAGAGAAGACAACCAGAAAATAAGGCTTTATTTTAGGATAGGGTGTTATTTTAATAAAGTATAACATCCCTAGGAAGTGTAAGAAATAATAAAAAGATACGTTTGTCAACTAGGCTTGCCGAGTCCCCCCGGGGGGCGGGGAAACCCCCGCCCGAGAGAACCGTTACCCACCACCGACGGATCGGGACCCAGGGGGAACCCCACCCCCAAAGCACGCGACGTGCCCGGCGTCAGCACGTCACCCGGAAGTGACGCAGTCACGTCGGGCGTGTTGGGGGTGGAGCCGCGGTCATCCGAGGGAAAACTCTATGGTTTTCCCTCGGATGATTGTGGCCCCGCCCCTGGTGTGCCCGACGTGGTTGCGTCACTTCCGGGTGATGTAATTTCGGCGCGGGCACACAGACTCCTGGAGCAGCGCTCTGCATACAGTAAGGACTTGGCAACCCTATTGTCAACCGATCTCAAAACTTACAAAGGCACAAGTGTCTTTTAAGTGTCCAGGTAATTATATCTTAATTGATCTGTTTTGGTTGTTGCATTCATTACTTTTGATATGTTCATGATATTTTTGTGTGGTATTGTTTATTTTAATTTTGAGAAAGGAATTGTTATATATAATTTGCTGTTTGTGTTATAAAGTTAAAATAAATAAAATAAAATTTGACAACAATATATGCTTTGGGTTTTTAGTTGGTACTTTTATTTTTTTTCCCCACCCCCAAGGCGAGCATGTGATTTTGCTTCTTTTCTTTCTTGCTTTCTGTTCTTTAGATAAAATATATGAATATGGGTGTTTTTATACAGTAGGCTCAAGTTTCTTTTGAGCATCTTGTTTGGGATAACGTGATTTGCTGCAGAGTAGAGTGGGGAAGAGGGTGGAGGACCAGCATTTGTAAGGCAAACAAGCCTTCTGTCCAGTGTTTGTTTTATATTTGCATGACAAACCCAGCTGAAGTAAGGGATGCTTCAGAGTTTCCTGAGTGAAGGCCTTTTGACTGGTTTAAAAGGAAGGAAACCACCATTTATCAAGACTGTTCTTTCATTTCAGGGATTTCCTTCCCCGTGGATCTGGCATTGTCACCAGACGCCCCCTGGTCCTGCAACTGGTTAATGCCAACACAGGTATGTCAGCGGTTTCCTCTTCTTCTTCTTCTTCCTCTTCCTCTTCCTCTTCCTCCTCTTCCTCCTCTTCCTCCTCTTCCTCCTCTTCCTCTTCCTCTTCCTCCTCTTCCTCTTCCTCTTCTCACAAAGTTGTCCTGCAGAGTTGCAGTGATATAGACTTTTTAAGAATCTGTACTTATTACCAAATGAATGAAAACCAGAAACCAAGCCAAAATAGCCTGTTCATTTCACATGAATACATTAAACTGCCTTAACACTGAATCTTGGTCTGTCAAAGTCAGTATTGTCTACTCAGACTGGCAGTGGCTCTCCAAGGTCTTAGGCTGAGGTCTTTCCCATTGCCACTTGATTCATCTTTTTTGCTGGAGATGCCGGGGATTGAACCAGGGACCTTCTGAGTGCCAAGCAGATGCTCTACCAGTGAGCCACAGCCCCTCACCAAAGGGGCACCCTCTTTTGTTATGGTAACAAGAACAAAGTGTGGTGAATGGCAAGTGCTATTTGTTTATATATTCTCTTCTCTCCTCCTCACCCCCACCACGCTTACCATGTTGTCGTGACCCCCAGGCTGATAGCTAATAAGTGGTCTGGTGGGAGAGCTCTCCTGCTTCTATTCCCTCCTTCCCTGATACAAACATTCACCTGTTAGAAAGCCCCCGTAGTGGACACATGTTCACCACATGGAATAGGAGTCAGATGTGCTATGTGAATTGCATGCTTGGGACTTCATTCCCTGGCATGTATGGGGTTTGGTCAAGATCAGGGGTCATTTCATAGAAAAAGAGGTGCAGGAGCTCATTAGCAGAACTTATTTGCATATGCCACACCCCCTGACATCACCGGAAGTGTGGCAGAAGGCAACACCCACCACTCAGGCTCCACTGGACTGTTTTGGATTGCTAGCTATGGGGGAGGCGAGCAGATCTGCCCTCACAGAGGAGGAAGAGCTTGTACCTGAAGGCGGGCCAGGGGGGCAGCTCTGCAACTTACCTGTCTGCTTCTTGCTCCTCGTGGTCCAACTGAGGGCTACTAGGAGCAGGGGGCGGGGCTTGTTGCTTGTGCCCGCCCCCTGGGCTCCTTACTGCCGGAGCTCCGCTCCTGTGCGCTCCCGCAGGAAATGACCCCCGGTCAAGATAGGTAGCCGTGTTTGTCTGTGGCAGTAGAAAGGAGCAAGAGTCCCAGTAGCACCTTCAAGACTTTTTCCGCCCTGGCCCCCACCTGGTGGAACATGCTCCCTATTGAGATCAGGGCCCTGGGTGGTCTTATTCCATTCCGCAGGGCCTGCAAGATGGAGCTCTTCCGCCAGGCCTTTGGCTGAGGCAGTGGGCGTCCACATATGCCCCCCCCC